CATACTGATGATGTATGTGAAGAGAGGGTTCAGTGGCAATAAGGCTGCTTGTCGTTTCAAATCATTTGTCAGTGAGATTAAGCCAGCAAAGTACAGGGGCGTTCGTGAGCTTGGGGCCAGTAACCGATACACTGGTAGTGTAGGAACACAGGCAAAACAGTCCTTGGTCACTGTAGTGTAAAGTTACACGTAGTTACATTCTCTGCAATGGCTGCCTTTCCAAACGGACATCAAAGCAAAATATCCCTTTTCGAACGACGCTACGAATGATCCAAACTGTACTTTGCTTTGTGTTGACTGTAGACCAGGGTTCCGTTTCCAATACAATACACAGGTAACGGGTCACAGCCGTAAAGTATAATAGGTTCAACACATGGCGATAAACACTCAGTTGAAAATGCAACTAGTGCCAACGGGGAACTCACTTGGTGTTCAAGTAGGAGACGGGGTCGATCGAAGTTATGGGACTAAGCCTATCTGCGGAGCCAGGAGGACAGCCGAACCAAACTGTAGACGAGCCATTGCTTTTCTTCGATCTAATAAGTTGTATCATCTGAATGAAAATTAACTCTAGGTCCCAGACACTTAAAACACATTCTCGAATCGTATAGCCGGACATGCCAGTCATCTGTCGGGCTTCAGCCTTTCAAAAATTATGATCTAATGTTTCAATCGGTATTCAGTCTAATCAGTTTGTGGTATAATTTCAGCCTAATGACTACAAATCACTATTCAGCGTGGTCTGTGAATCAAATAACAAATGAATGGACATGCATGTACAATGACTTCTTTGGTTATTTTTCGCACCCAGGCAGATTTTCTAGAGTCTTTATTATTATCATCGTAATAGCTGATAAGTCAGTGTTACTTTCAAATGGCACACTTCGAAATTCATCCATCTGCCGTAGAAATTATGTAAGCCATCTGTCGTCCAGCCCCAGTGGTGGCGATGAGTCGAAAATTTGAACAAACTTGTTCGTTCTCGAAAGGTTAGTCTTACTGGACATTCCTGTGGTGTGAATCGGTTCATATCAGGTCACTACAGAGGCACCTAAATATTACGGGAATAATTCCACCTATCAGAGTTGATTCGTCCTCGTTTGACAGGTGCAGTAGGAAGCCTCTGTCTATATACTGAAATTTCATGCAAAGCGAAAAACGCCCAAGCAGACTGCATCTAATGTGGCCAGATCATCATATTAAGTCTAATTTACGTTTTATTAGTGAAAGTTAGTAGTGTCTTTTGCCATTTATTCGTAGAGAATTTAGGGCAACCAAAACAACAGGCTTTGGCTAGAGTGTGACAATTCAACGAGAGCGTAAGGTCGAATAGGGCTATCTTCATCCGTCCAGAGGAGGTGATTGTCATGGGAAAGAATACCGCTAGAATGGAAGTTCGCATCCGCAGACGGTCGGACCATTCATTTACACTCAACTTTAAGAGTCGTTAGCCGGACGACTGCCATGACCTACTGCAGTGAAAGTGGATATGTTCTAGAATATTAGTAATAGCAATCATCATCAAGTGAACCAACATACCAGTAGTAAAAAAAGCCGTTTGTGACCGACTTCACGAGAGTGCTGAAGAGATGGAACAAAAAGAGAATTCTGAACGCAAGCGGCTTCCAGCCAAACAGATCAGGATTAGCTCACTTACAGAGATGAGGATATCGGGATCGATGCTTTCGAAATTGTTGTATTTGATGAAAAGATAACACGATAGAGAACAGTCTTTCTGAAGGGTGTCAACTATGACAGACAGTAATGTAATGGTCGGCCTTATAAGTCACTAAAACGTTGAATCACACTTTGAGCGGACTTGCATGTCAGATGTATGTGACTGCAAGCTCTTTGCAGGCTCATAATCTAAGAACTATGCTAATGGTAGTCCTAGAAGGATGTTACACACACACATAAAGAAGCCAAATTTAGGAGGCCGAATAGATGAGTAACCCTCACAACTCTCTCCACTTCAAACCTAAGGGGTCGATCTTTTGGTTCGGCAACTGAACACAAGTGCGATAGACGCTTGTGCATTCACTCCTCTTATTTTACCGTATAAGTACAATGTTAACTGCGCAGAACAAAGGTCAATAGTCCAACGGTGATCACTGCCTTTAGGGGTAAATAGACTTAGTTGAACCTAGTTAAGATTGCTCAACTGATTCCCTGAGAATAGAAATATACTTTATAATTATAAAGGACGGGCAACGTTAGCAATGTTACTCTATGCACGATAAATAAGGCAATAACTAATGCAGGTTTGTGAGAGACGATAACGCATAAACTGTGACGCGAAGTAAGTAGTATAGGATGGATCTTTAAAATCTCGAGACAGTCTACGAACAGTCCCACCCTGCTTTTTAGTTCACCACTTACGCGTAGACCCCCGGGGACTGAGGTAATCAATCTCTGACATAAACAGTGAGTTGATCGTTGTCATTACCGTCATCATAAAAACACTGGCGATCCACTACCGCACATTATCTGAGTAAAACCTCCAGAGGGAAAAAGGAAAAGTGGGACAGGGATGTGGATATAGGCCTACCATAACACCTCCAACACTCCATCAGAAAACCCTGAAAAAAATTGACAGCGTGACATCAGTTAGCCACCATTTCGTTTATCGTTTCTGGGAAAACACAGGGCGGGTCATTTGCATTGAATGAGCGTGCAGTCTGACTCCACAAAAGAGGGACAACCGGTAATTGACCCACACCATCTATAGCTTAGGGCTATCAACCTCTCTGTGAAGCATTTTGGCTCTCGTGCGGGGAGAACCATGCGGCCAAGTGGCTCTGGCCTTGGCGGAACTTCGCACTGCACAGAAACAGTCTGCGGTCAGCACATAACTGCAGCGGCCATTCGCCTTTGTTCGCTCGTCTTTATTCTAGTCAAAGGCAAGTACCCAAGTGAACCTCAGCAGCGCTACTTCTACCTACTTGCGTATTTAAATCTTCATAAACTACACTAATGTTGGAGCTCTTAGCCTGTCCCTCAAATAGTCGTAGAAACTCTCCTTGAATTTGTCAGAGAGTCTGTTAGGACCTAAGCAGATACATTAAGCGGGCAGTGATGTTTCCGCATTTGCATGATACTCTCACAAAGGCTGCGAAACCAAAATACAACCATTCAGTCAGAAACCATGCAGCTCGGTGGCTCAGAAAAAATTTCAACTCACTAACTAGTTTCCGTTAGCTTGATGCAGAACCCATTAGCAGCATTCCCGTATCAAATAAGTACATCTTTGTCAGAGTGGTGAGTGAGATTGGCAGTGAACTAAGAAATTTGATTGTTTCGACAAAGGAAAAAAGTTGGTCCTTCAAATGAATACATCCTCCGTTTTTTAACTATGTACAAACTGCAACAGTGCCTCCTGATTAAATCTGGCGGAATTTTTTTTAACCCGAAATGTAACATAAAATGTGTTTCACGAGCTTCAGTGCATTTGTTTAATCAATTTGTGGAGGTAGTCGTACAAAATGGGCCACCCATTGGCTGAACACAGAGCATCTGAAACTAATAAGACCAGTTCGACTCGGCGAGTCATTCAGCGTTCACTGAAATCATGTGGATAGGAGTGATACTACTGGTCTTCACCATTATTCCGCTGCTTTACTGTTCCCCACTCAGTGCATTTGGTGGTAAGTTTGCTCCAACTATCCTTGGGAATGTTTTAATTTACCGCTCATTGATTCAACTCCTTCCTAGACCGAGAAAATTCCAGGCCGTCAGTATTTATATCTAATGAACTTCTTAATTACGAGAGAAATACTATGGAAAGGCAACGTCACCTCTTTCTGTGAGGGTGAAAACAGATATCGCAACTCCAGATTGAAGATCATAGCTAGAAACAATTTGGAGTATACATCTGATGTAAGTGTTACGGGATGAGGAATAGAATGGCCGTCTTCCATTAGTATAAGGTCTGTGAACGCTACGCTCTAATAGCCAGTTATGACGCAGGAGCACATCGATTGGCAAGTTTTCCACTGCCACAAACAAATGATGTATCCCAGTGCGGGGTTCACATCTTACTACCCCAAAGTTACCTAACATGCGATCGCCAATTCACAAACATGTCTTCCTGCACACCTAGCCTTAAAAATAGATCGGCTACGTAGACTGAGTATGATTGAGAATAAGTACTCAAATTTGAAATAATAAGTGACCCGACCTATAACCTAATTCGACCAAAAACTCACAGTGCTGATGCGCATCACCTACTAAAGGCGAAGATAACTGAGTTTCATGACCAGTGTTCCAGTTACGGCCTGATCAGTAGATGAATAAGTCGTTGCAAGGTAGAGAGTTCTCCGACATTTTGGACCGGCAGTCTAACCAACTTAGTCTTGTTCGTTTGCTGTGAATGAGTTCCCGCTCAAAAAGTTTACTGTTGATCTGAACACTAATGCCCAACAGTGGGCAATACTTCAAATATCTGGACGGTCAAGGACCAGATTATATTTAATCACACTGTGGGCTATAGTGTTGCCCAAACTAATCGTGCTTTATAAGCGATGGTTATATACGGAAAGTTCAACTGAACTTTCGTTCTGTAGGTGAAGGAAATTTATGATGAGAAGCCCAGAAGCACCCTACAACTTTTCCTCCTCGTGTGGATAGTCATTAGTGTGCATCATACAGATTTCCAGGCGGATTCGAAACCGTGACTTCTGTTAGTAGCTGAAAATCACACCGTTTGGCCAACAGCAGCTGATTAAAAGCGATGTTAACTTGGACAGGATGTAGCTTCATTCGTACTTTAATGAGTATGAACTTTAATGAGACGAACGATAGAATGTTCAACTACTAACAAGGAGGTCACCGGTTCGAACCTAACTTAAGATGCGTGAGTTACGGATTACTGATTATTCAAACAAGGATGAAATATCTGTATGGTGGTTCTGAGCTTTTCTGCATAGGCTTACTTACACAATGCAAGCTCAGTTTAAGAAATTGGTTTACTTTGAATTCACAAGAGTACTATCCTGCTAGTACTAGATGTGGTCTTATCTTTCGCTATCCCAAAAATGTTTTTTTTCAACGTATCGATTAATCGGTCTGTGATCCTGATTTCGGGTTCGCAGATAACCTCGTAATCCATGTGTCCACAACACTTTACAAATAAGAACTGTATGCCAAATCATGTGGTTCAATTATTCATATTTTCAATTTTAATTTACGTATGGATACTTGAGGCCGTGCGATTGATTGCTGCTATATTAAATATCTCGGGATCCAGATAAGTTACTGTTGCCTTAACGCGCTAAAACCAATGATCGGAGAGATTTATTTAGTCCAAAACCCGTTTTCTAACTTATAATATGTGGCCTACTTTTCCATTCTGTTATACACTTATAAGTGGGGCATTGATATTGTAAAAATCAGGCCCTTCAAAGTATGATCGTCTCAGAAACATGACTGAGGCGTTGTGTTAACCAATCGCATCGGCCAAGGATGAATACGTTCGTCTGTCCAGACGTAAAAATTCATACACGTCCACATACGCTAGTGGAGCAGTGGTAACTAGCTCGCCTCACATGTCAGATTTCCAGAGTTCGAATTCTGGCACGGTCAAGGATGTACACCACTGAGCTTTAATAAAGGGAGGAACTCGAGTCCAGTGCTGGCATCTTTGGTATGGACTAATCTGAATAACTGCACCAGGACAGGAGGGCGGCTATTCACGCGAGTGTGATTTGAACTCTACAAATTCGGCAGCCACCCACAACTAATGACTACACTCGTTGGAGATATCGAGTCCACTGTGGAATGTTAGCAGTGTTTCCGTCTAGGCGGTTGATTATCGAATAAACTGGAAACTCGTGGGATCGCGCAAAGACATGCTTTATGAGCACTGGAATTTTAAGGTTTTTTCGAAGAAGTCCACTATTAATCACGCGAGACAGCTTCCACCCAAGTACACATTAAACCACTTCTAAAAACTGTAAACATGTGCAGCAGAAGGCAAGCAACTCCAAAATTTTAACGCTAGACCGAAAGCGATCAGTCTTTTTATGACTGACTTGGGTGCGAGCAGGCATGCCTTGCCGCCATGACATGATAGTTCACTGGATTATCGTTTCAGAAGAGTTTGGTAAACAATCGGTAGTTTTTAATTGGGCTCGATTATCGGTTTAAACGATCCGTTGCTTCGTGATCCGAACGTAAGAGCGCGCGGTGCTCTCGTTTGCGTCTAGCTGGTTAAAGCTTCACGAACAAAACAAAACTACAATTTTCACTACTATGTCCATGACTTTCCCATGGTTCATTGCACTTCTTTTACACATGACCTTTTCAGCATCGTGTGCCTTGTTGGGCGAAGCGTGTTCGAGAACAGTGTTCTACAAATGCTGTCATTCGACCGTTTGTTCACTAGTTTACCCTTTTGTCGGTGTATGCGTCCCGTGTTTCTCGAAAGGAACCATGTGTTTGAACGGTGACGAGTGTTGTGACGGTAGTTGCGTGTTTAATCACTGTGTTTGAGGCACTCCTGTTTGTCTGTTTTTTTTTTGCATAACACAGCGTCTAATAAACAAGAAGTCATCAACCCGGCTCAACTCTTTTTCCGAATACTTAAAGAGCGGATGAAGTGTTGATTCGCCCAATCAAATGGTTGTTTCGGGATAGACAAAGGGAACATTTGCCGGATGTAGACCGATGGGAAGTGCATTGATCACTTAGTAATCACATTTAAGAGATACCTACTGAAAATTAACTCAGAACAATCAGTAGAACAACCTTTCACGAGCCAGTAAATTATGCTATATCAACTAGTGTTGATGTACGAAATCAACACCATAGAGACAAGTAATTTACGTTGAGCGAGAGAATTTGAGACGTTGATGCGCACGTCAAATTGTGGGGAAATTAATGTCAGGAAACAACGACTGGAAGATGTTACAGGTATGGCTCCAGTTGCTGTCCGCCATAAGTGAACAAAACAAGTGCATAATCAGATGTACACCCAATGTTTCAAATAGTTACATCGTGATCTGCCTATTTATTTAACACGTTTCATTTGTTTCCAGCTTCCCATGAGAGCTGCTCAAGCGTTGGCTCCCTCTGTGTTTGGACTCCACTCAACAACTGCTGTGATGGGCTGGTATGTGAACTACAGGGTCCAATCTATGGGCGTTGTGAAGGATGCCTAAGTTCAGGCAACTTCTGTGTCGATCATCAACAGTGTTGTAACAGCAACTGCTATTATTTCGCTTGCTTGTAAACAGAGATTGATCTTCAAAGTAATTACCATATTTTAAAATAACGGGTAATCGAAGCGGACGTTCTGCGACCAATCGACTCAGTTTAGGGGATGTGCTCACATGGGCTGTTCTAAATGGGATAGATAAGGCGACTTACAACCATGCTTGACTGTGCCTAATCGATAGCCGAACGGTTATCCTGCTAGGCCCGTCGCAACTGATCCTAACTAGCTAGGAACGCTTACTGTCAACAGTCAAACTGAAGTATGGTCGTATAACCTAACTTTGGGGTCTCTAAGCGATTTGGACAGGTGTTTTCTCCAAAAAATAGGTCCCACATTTTTCAGACCTGAACACTTACATAGTATCTCAATTTAAGAACTTGCTCATTATTATCGGCTGAGACTGTGAAGGGAGGCACTACCACCTTACGCAATGGCAGGGCTACCACTGTGTTGTATTAGTCACGCTTCAAAGTCTCACGAAGTACAACGTCCGGAGCTTCAGCTTGCTGACACACGGAACCATGGATGTGACTGAATCAATCTCGACTTCGCTCTAGTCACTTTAGGCAGCTAAAATGCATGCTGCTTGGAAGCCGCTTATTAGCCGGCTGTCATTAGCTCAGCTGTAGTATCTTTTCGGTGCCTAGCTGCCATGCCATCCCGAAGGAAGCACGAAGGATGGGATACTGCCCGAGCCCAGACAGAAGTCGAGATGCAGAGGGTAGGTCCGAACCACGGACCTGTCGGTCGGTAAATCCGCGCTCTAACCACTGAGCCAAAACGCTCCGTTCGGCCGATGATCTTAGCTCATTGAGTTGTAAGTGCTTTCGTACGAGGGATCGAATAAGTCGACTGCCAATTGGTTTGCATGCTGTCCTCGTAACACTGGGCAGTCAGAAATTTTTAAAGGCCCGCAAAGATCTTATTCTCCGGCCCAGAGTAACAAGCCGTGTTATATAGAAGCAAGCGTGTTCGAGAGACCAGCATCAATAGCAGAATACCGTATTACACGAAAATATCACTCGCTTGTTGAGTAACCCAGGGATACCACTAAAGAGTGGGTCTCCGAGCACAAAAGTAATTAATTCACACTGAAGACATAGTTCCATGTAAGCAACAGACGAACGATCAACTATATAGAACATCCAGGTGAAGTCGACTGTCCTTTTGGTTACCGATGACAGTTTTGCCGTACCAAATAGGAATTTAACGAGATACTGGGTGCAATGTCCTAAACTGCTCGTCAAGGTTAAGTGGCTCCACTTTCTTGGCGGACCACCATTCATAAAGCTGCTGACAGCTCAGGACCAGTTTCGCCCATTTTGGGGTTCATCAGGTAGGCACAATCCACGAGTTTCCTCGACCTTATGGTAGGCACAATCCACGAGTTTCCGTCGACCTTATGTTCTACTTGAATGTGTGAAATACGCTCATCTGCACACTGACTTGGCTTCAGTAGTTCCACTTTGCTGGCGGAGAAAGTGATGGCTATGGCAGATGAAAGCTGGCGACTGTGAAATTGAGATCATCATCAGGGACAACAGTATACCAGTAGCGGAAGGTGGCGCTTACCTGTGGAAGCGAGGCATGTTTGTGGTGGGATAAATGAGGCGTCTCACCTTATGGTTCGCATGTGAAAGTAACGGGAGTTTTGAACACGGCTGACGATACTAGGTGGGACTCGCATACTTTGTTGCTAAGTAAGTTTGCCTACAGTTATCGAGGCTGAGCTAGAGGGGTTCTGAGAGATCGGCCATTTCGTGACATGCTTAACCAGAGTAACTCGTGGAAGTTGAAGAAATAGATACGATCACACTTACAACCTCAGCAGCGTAGTTCCCTTATACCAACTGTAGGAAGTAGACGCCATGGCAAGTCATCTTCCAGAATATGAGATTCTGCCAAAAGGACGAATAGCCCATCATCGATTAGATTCGTCACTCACAGGTGGCAGACGAAACAGTATCGCAACAAAGCAATTCCCAAATAAGGACAAGTAATTGAAAAATAATGAAAAGCTTATTTATTCGCATCCACTTAGACCATTGCAAGTTTGAAGTGTGCCAACAAACTTTCCTCCATGAAGATCCATGTGCTGCCAAGCTAAGGTGGAACCCAACCAGGACCATGGACTCTTATCAGTCTAGCATCAATCATTCAGCGGTGGTATCTTCTCGGTACACAGCTGTCATGTCATCAGAGTGAACAAAGAACACTGAAATACTGCGTAAGGCTAGACAAAAGCAATTGAAGAGACTATAGTCAATTTAAATGGCACGTAGTTAGCGCCCCAATCAAACGACTATTCAATGCTTTCCTGGTCCCAGTGAATCGAAATTTCACGGTATAGACACGTTTCAAAAACGTCTAAGTGCACTTCTATTGATTCGTGGACTGTTTTGAAAAAAAACGTTAGCGGCAAAGCAAACTAGTGCGATGTTGGGCACTCGATATCTAGCTTGGTGAAAGTTAACGCGTGAAGCAAGGCTATTGCAAAGAAGTACTTTATTACACAGGTCAAGTTGTAGTCCCCAACTTTGCTTGTACAAGGGAAACAAGTCTCTGAGCCACGTCCGGCCGCAGTAGACGGGCGATTCGATTCCGAACTCGGCTGGTTGGAAGTGAAACACTCGGATCGACCACATCAATCTCCATATCTTCTTCCATATCTTCTTCATCAGCCGAGTGCAGATCGGCCAACCAGCTGGCTTCACAAGCTGCCAAAACGCTCGTTTCCCAAACCGGCATGCCGTTTTGCGTCAATGCAATGACGCAATTGCGCACGCGAGAGACCGCAAACCGTTCAGCCAAGTAGTCTAACTGAGTGCTGCCCTCGGCCGTGGACTCAATAGGCGCGGCTAGGCCAAGACCGATATCCATGGCGCGAGCTGGTCCAATCCATACGTAACCATTGCATCCTAGAATGAGACCAACTGAAATCACCTCCGTGAGATTAGTGGAAGCCGATGTTAATGGGCCATGAACAGACGACGTTCGAGGTACAGCCAGACGATGTCGATGAATCTTCTGCCGTTTAACCAAACTCGGTGGGATGCGAAGAAGACAACCGCCGCCAAGTTTGCCGGTCCTCGTGCCGGGCATGTGCAATTGTAGAGTTCCGTCCTTGTAGATCTCGTGTACCTCAGCAACGATGAGGTCACCCTCCTAAAAAAAAATCAAGTTGCGATTGTAAGGATAAAACGGGTTATGAAAGTCGAAAACGGTTGATCGCACAAAGCGTACACACGTATAATCAAATTACGAATAAAACATCTGTGAATAAACGGGGCTGCCCAACGGTGTCACAACGTGGACTGTTAAAAAATCTCGTCGCCAAGAAAAAAAGATGTCACTATTTTATTCGCAGCACACAATGAAAATCACTTCAATATTCACCGAACAGACCTGTTTACGGTTGATGTATCACCTGGATGTACCACTGCAAGTGCTCTCACTGACTCTGAACTGGGCATCAGCGACGCTTGTAGTCTACAACAGATACGAGGCGAGTAAACTAGAAAATACGACATCTACATTGATGGATTCGAGGAGCATCTGGTCAGGCAAATGAGTGACGTAGTTGTTCGTTTGGATGAGGATGAACGACTGAAACCGACTAGCAGCCCGATCGAGCTTCGAAGTCTTTGCAACGTACGGACGGTTATAGAATATTAAGGGGAATACAGCCGGAGTATGCCCGAATCTCTGTTAACACCGATTGGATAGGCATGCGTAACTTTTCCAGCGGTGATAAGGAATAATGACTAATGTTTGAGAAATATGTCTACGTTGTGAGCCACAAACAGAATGAAATCGGCAGTGGGCTTTCAGTGAACTATGAAAAACCTCTTCATACCGCAGTAGTAGGGGTATTGCCCAAAAGCTATGACATATTTCTTGACAGACACCAAGAAAAACAAAGCGGGCAGTGAAAAAGGCTTTCATCGCGACCAGATGAATTTGTGAGCTGCGGTCACCTGTTCAACTAGCCAAATAGCACTAACACTGACCATGCGAATGGTTAGTTTCACAAAATATTGCACAGGGATGGGGGAAGCCAGATAAGTGGGACTGTCTTCGAGGCGCTTACTTTCATGAAGGACCTCATTGCGCGCTCATCATCCTCTGATTTTCGACGAAGCTCGCCGCCAGGCAGCTTCACATTCGCAAGCGCCAGGTTTCCAAGAAGAGAAGAGTTAATATCGACCTTCCAGCGACGTTGTTCCACCTAAGTAAAGAAGACAGGAGAAGGTTGTATAACATTTGATAGCCGAATTGCAGTTCAAGCAAATCAGGCTTAAAATGAGGCTCTTAGAAGCCCAGGTAACATGTCAAAATACAAGATGTGATAAAATAGCCTCATTACAGCCAGGGCAGAGGGAGCTGTTCCAACAGCTGTTGGAAGTATCAGTGATGTATCTATTCTTATTCGTGCTCAATATCGGCTTGAAAGGGAAGATGACGACAGGCATCGGTTCTTGTCGGGAAAGAAAGAAGAAGCTTTTAGTGATTTCATATGGGCAAAGAATAGCTCGAGTTAAGCTTTACCCAAGTGATAACCAGAAAGCATATACTGCAGTCTATTCCACTGGGAGTCAGTTTCGGCGGTTCCCTTGAGGTGGCCTCCAATGAAACAGACCGAAAAAGTTTTCTGGCTCTGACTTCAACGAACTTACGCAATGATGCTTAAATTTTTTAATTCAGCTGTAACCGTTGGTCGTTGGAAATACACCGTCGCGCCGGAATAACCGTTTTTTAGTGGGACTAATACGAGCAAAACATAGCGAGAATGAGTCCCAACAAAATGGTATTTAAAACTCAACGAACGGCTACGTGTACACCAGGAAGCGTATGAAGCTGTTTCCATGTCATAAAGATTTACAGTCGCGAAATTTAGTTTCAACCGAAACAAGAAACCCGACCTAAGGTGTTCACAGATTGAGATGTATACTGTAAAAGATTTCCAACAAGGATGAACCACGTGTACTGTGATTCTGCGCCCTACAGAGTAGAAATTTCAGTTGAAGCTTCCGAACAGTAGCAAATGTTCGGGACCATTCAACCTGTATACATCGGATTCGGCAGTTGATAAAGCAAAGTACAACCAGGTTGCGGAGAGTAAGCACGATCAGGGTCATTAGCAAAAGTGTTGAGAGTAGGGGTCACTGTGACACGGGAAATTCCAGATGCAGTCACCAAAGCGCTAAACACAGCTTATACTTTGAACCAACTCAAAATCTCTCTAAATGTAATAAGAGTGAGTGTAGTGCATGACACTCGCTGATGATGAACCATCCTGCGTATCCTTCTCACTACTGGAACCACTTCGCTAATTCAACCAAGTTTACTTTTCCTTTTTCGAAATCGACCGAGGTGGATGAAATCGTGGGCTGACACTTCGACGACTTCGATCCCCACATGGGTACTTTTAAGTTGGTTGCTGGTCCTCGTCCTGATAATCTGTACATACATGTCAGAAATGGAGACGTAAAATGGACGGACAAAAAAGACGAGTACACGATTCGTGACCAAGTAAAAGTCTTTTCCCTCCTGTGCGGTATAAGGGCAGTACAACCACACAAAACTCTTGGCAATGTCAACGAGTGTGTAGTTCTGAAAAGCCTCGCTGCGGCTAGAATCTTTCGCTGTGACTGTCCGGGCAGAAGAATACAATATACTGGTACGTTGCCTTTTTGTAATCCCAAGTAGAGACCTTCCTGGACTGATTTGGAAGTCTAAGGAGTGATCGAACAGAAAAGTTTCTTTTTGACATCAGTCACCAACATCAAAAACCTAGTTATGTAAAAAAAACCTAGCTTTCTATTCAACTTCAACAGAATGTTGCATGCAGTAAGAACGGCAACGCGGCTGGCAGCATCATGTGATTACCGACGTGGCATGAGGGTGCCTGTAGTTGTAACACTCCTTGCCATCACGGCTAAACCTAGAAACCGGTTTAGGGCCTTAAATCAAGGCACTAGGTTCCAAAGTCTGAGAGCAAGGCAGAGGCAGTCGGCGACGACTAGTGGGAGCAGTTTAGCTTTTGGGGAAAAATGCGCCACGCATGTCCCAACCCACAGCTTGAACATCTCGGAGATTGCACCGGTCAAGCCTCTGACCATTGATCAATCTGACCTGAGATCCTGTAAACGCCCCTGGACATCCTCACGGGGGCACACCCTCATACCACGGTAAGATCCGGTCCTTTTGTGACCAAACCAGCTGAAAATCCAGCAACAACAATGAACGCAGTCGAGTTACCGGTACTTCACACATCGCCTACGGCTGGGTAGTTTTTACATAAACAAAGAGAATGCATGAGATTAAAACCCGCCAAATTCGAAAGTCAAACCAAGGTAATGCGGTAGCACCATCAGAACCAAACACACCCAAGATGAAGTAGTACCGTAAGGAATATTGTGTTGATTCATGCAGCTTATAATTGGACGAGAGAAGGTAAACTGCCAGATATTACTTACCTCTATAATACGACCAACGACAGTATCTCCCACATTTCCAGAATACCGCGCTTTAGGTGGTTCTACGTAGACCAGCTTATTGACTATTCGTACACGCCCCGTCAGAGAAGTGCGCATTGCTCCTGTCTTTATGCTATCTTCGTGCGTACTTGGTCCCTGGCGGTCAACCGCCTCACGGAGTTGTGCTGACGCCACAGATTCATCAAAGTCTCGATATGTTCCGTGACCAGTGATTAGATTTGAGCCCATAGGAAAAACCACCTCGCCTGGGACAACGGCTGACCCCTGGTGTATCGAATCATTAGATGTTCGGCAACCTTGTAGAGCATAATTTGGAGTGTTTCTCTCTGGGGCAGCAATGGCAGGGTACATACAAATGGGCATGGTTGAAACATCAAAATCACGCGTTTAAGGGTAAATCCAGGGTTTGTTCGGAAGGAGAAACGTGATTCCACAATAAGACAGCTGGAAAATACAGAATACTATTCAGATCAATAGATACGTCGACGGCAAAAAATAATGTGCGGAGTGTGACCAGGCACCTGAAAAAATGTATGGCCAACAACTCAAGATCTAGTAACAAGGATGCCAACGACAAAATCGGCTACGAAGATAGTGAAGCTTATGTGAAATAATCAACAGGATGGTTGTGGACCAAACAACATTTAACTTCCCTTTTGGTCTGTTGAGCAAATGCAAATAAAAAGAACGAAGGTCTGAAGGTGCTGTCGGATTTCAAGTAATAATGAAAAATCGGTTATGGAGTGAGAAAAAAGTCGATCTGGGTAGAATCGTCAGGAAGCATAGGCCAAATATGCCAACCAGCTCGCTGTCCCTTCACTGTTACAGCAACCTCCAGAAACTAAAGTCGGGGTCGTAAAGTTTATCCGCCCATCATCAACATTATCATCATCATCGACAGCATAACATCAGTGTTCAAAACCGATGCTTCGCTAGCATCCAACCATGGTTTATTGAATGCCTTACGCCCATCATCAACATTATCATCATCATCGACAGCATAACATCAGTGTTCAAAACCGATGCTTCGCTAGCATCCAACCATGGTTTATTTGAATGCCTTATTTTTTTTATAAAAAAGTGGACCGGGAGAGGACTTAGTGCTAATCTACCGCAATCATTCTGAGGTGATTATACCTCCAGACACTCATTTAGGCAACCTGCATAAAAATTGACAAGGACCGCAATGACATCGATTGTCGGTCATATTTTGCAGCGTCTCCTACCGGGTGTAGTGAGGATCACGCGGTCCCCACCCTGGAGGACAATCCGCACCGACAACACTCAAAATTTTCATAACCTCTTTCATGCTCCTTCGCCAGGTTGGCCACCTCTCTCAGTATCATCATCATCGACACCATACATCAGTATTCAACACCAATGCCTGTGGAGGTAATGCACACAGGCGAATGAAATGTAAACTTCGATCGCCCGTCGGAAGAAATAAAGTACGAAATAGCCGCACTGAAACGTGAGAAGGCACCAGGACCGGACGGTCGGTATCTAGCCCTCTTCAAAGAACGCGGAGAATCCCTGGTGACCCATCTACGAAGTTCATTAGTGTTATATGGAACGAGGTGCCTGTGGAGTGGAACTATCCCTATCTTTGAAAAGGGTACGCGGACGCTGTGTGAAAACCACCGTGCCATCAGCCAGTTAGCCATCACACCCAATGTGCTCTCTGGCCTTATCTTTCGAACAGAGAGAGACAGATCCGTGAAAAAGAAGTTGGGTTCCGTCCTGCAAGAGGTTGCATAGATCATATCTTCACCCTCCGATAGATTCTGGGACAGCGACACTGCTTCCAGCGACCAACAATGGTTGTGTTTCTTAACTTGAAAGCTGCCTTTGACCCTGGACCGTCAGGCAATATGACAGTGTCTGTGGAGCAAAGGTGTTACCCATAAATTCTTGACCCTCCTTAAGGGGCTGTACGCCAACTCCCGCGGCCATGTGAAGGAAGCTTTCCTCTTGGTTCACCACATCAAGGGTGTCAGACAGGGATGTCCTCTTTCACCTCTCCTCTCCAACTTCGTCATTAATACGATCACGGAAGACTCATTATCAGCCTCTAATGCCTGTGGGTTCAAAGGCGTCCGCTCACAGATATCGAGTACACAAAGACATAACTCTTTTTGAATATGATCCCGTAGTAATGCAAACACTATTGGATAACCTAAATAATTCCGCCTCACCGTTTGGCAAGCGCTTCGCACCTGAAAAGTGTAGATCGCTTCTGCGAGACTGGGTGGGCTCGAACCCCAGCCTCATGCTTGCGGATGAACCGATTGGGGTGGGCAGCTGTATCAGTCCTGGTGGCTTCGTGAAAGAGGATAGTTCCATCCGGATTGGGGAGGCCATAGCAACTTTTGAGAACCTGCGTCATCTGTGACGTAGGCGTGACATCAGCTTATCCGCCAAGGGTTGAGTTCACAGTGCTACGATGCGATCCATATTGCTATACGGGTCAATAAGCTGGCCGCTGTGCGCCGAGGACGTCAAACTTTCAGTATCTGGCCATCTTCGGAGCATTGCCTACCGACAACACTCAAAATTTTCATAACCTCTTTCATGCTCCTTCGCCAGGTTGGCCACCTCTCTCAGTATCATCATCATCGACACCATACATCAGTATTCAACACCAATGCCTGTGGAGGTAATGCACACAGGCGAATGAAATGTAAACTTCGATCGCCCGTCGGAAGAAATAAAGTACGAAATAGCCGCACTGAAACGTGAGAAGGCACCAGGACCGGACGGTCGGTATCTAGCCCTCTTCAAAGAACGCGGAGAATCCCTGGTGACCCATCTACGAAGTTCATTAGTGTTATATGGAACGAGGTGCCTGTGGAGTGGAACTATCCCTATCTTTGAAAAGGGTACGCGGACGCTGTGTGAAAACCACCGTGCCATCAGCCAGTTAGCCATCACACCCAATGTGCTCTCTGGCCTTATCTTTCGAACAGAGAGAGACAGATCCGTGAAAAAGAAGTTGGGTTCCGTCCTGCAAGAGGTTGCATAGATCATATCTTCACCCTCCGATAGATTCTGGGACAGCGACACTGCTTCCAGCGACCAACAATGGTTGTGTTTCTTAACTTGAAAGCTGCCTTTGACCCTGGACCGTCAGGCAATATGACAGTGTCTGTGGAGCAAAGGTGTTACCCATAAATTCTTGACCCTCCTTAAGGGGCTGTACGCCAACTCCCGCGGCCATGTGAAGGAAGCTTTCCTCTTGGTTCACCACATCAAGGGTGTCAGACAGGGATGTCCTCTTTCACCTCTCCTCTCCAACTTCGTCATTAATACGATCACGGAAGACTCATTATCAGCCTCTAATGCCTGTGGGTTCAAAGGCGTCCGCTCACAGATATCGAGTACACAAAGACATAACTCTTTTTGAATATGATCCCGTAGTAATGCAAACACTATTGGATAACCTAAATAATTCCGCCTCACCGTTTGGCAAGCGCTTCGCACCTGAAAAGTGTAGATCGCTTCTGCGAGACTGGGTGGGCTCGAACCCCAGCCTCATGCTTGCGGATGAACCGATTGGGGTGGGCAGCTGTATCAGTCCTGGTGGCTTCGTGAAAGAGGATAGTTCCATCCGGATTGGGGAGGCCATAGCAACTTTTGAGAACCTGCGTCATCTGTGACGTAGGCGTGACATCAGCTTATCCGCCAAGGGTTGAGTTCACAGTGCTACGATGCGATCCATATTGCTATACGGGTCAATAAGCTGGCCGCTGTGCGCCGAGGACGTCAAACTTTCAGTATCTGGCCATCTTCGGAGCATTGCCTAAGTCTGTTGGGAACACCGGATCAGCAATGCTGAAGTACATCGAATGGTACTCGGAAGAAATATCTCACTCTTGATAGATGAACTGATCACACTGCATAGGTTGCGCTGGCTTGGCCACGTGTTGCATGTGCTAGTCGACCGAATTCCTCGGAGGGCTCTTTTCGCACAACCACGTGAAGGGTGGAAGAGAGCCAGAGGCGGTCAAACAATGACTTGACAGCAAAGTATAAAGGACATTAAGAGCAAACTCACCTATGCTGGTCACTGTCGTCTTCCTGGATGGGGACCCCGAGATGGGCCACATCAACATTTCTCAACATTTCTCTCTCTATTTCAGCCCTTCACTGGACTGTTTGTTCCATTCTGTTCTTGATTCTTCGAATCTCGATATTGGCTGTTCAGTTGCTGCAGTATAATTTCCTCAAGGCATTTTGTCTTCTCAATTTCGCGTGTAACTGACAAGGTTGATTAACTGATTAGTAGAGAACATAACACTGGCGACGTGGATGGGATGAGCAGTTACTTCCGCCATGGTTCGCGACGCCACTGCTCGTGATCCGTTACTTCAAAATGTACTCCATGTTCACCGCACTCCAAAAACTCAAAGAGGAGGGGACCACCCCGGAAATCATCGAGATATTTCTGCTGAGTTACAGGGCGACACCAAATGTTAACGCTTCACATGGTAAGTTCCCGGCGGAGGTACTTATGAACCGGAAGGTCCGCTTACCCGTTGACGTCAGCCGTCCAACACCACATTCGCCAACCGGTAGAAACATAAATATGGAAGTTCAGTTCAACCGACATCACGGTGCTGAAAAGAATATGCTGCAAGAACATGGCCCAGTAGCGCCCTCACTGGTGCTCATGGATCCAAGCTATTGGATTCAATGCATAGCTCCCTTGCCAAACCCCACCTAACAATTAACTGACTTCTCTATTTACGCACCAATTTATCAGCTCCCGCCTCCAATGCGCGGCTACCTAGTTCTCCTCAAATCATCGGTGAATGAAACTGTGGCAGCTACAATCACTGTACGACAAGTACGCGGTTTTTACAGCTGACAATGATGATAAATGCACACCGATGCTTTGCTGTCGTACAATCATGATTTATTTCAAAGCCTTATTGTGAGGAAAGAATAACGGAGGCGAGATGGCCCAGGTGGTTAGAGCGCGAATTTACTGGCCAGAAGGTCCATGGTTCGAACCCGACCTCTACCACTCTACTTCCCCTGTCTAGGCCTGGGCGACCTGGCAGTATCCCAGCCCTCGTGCTTCCTCCGGGTGGCATGGCAGCTAGGCACCGGAAGGGTGCTACAGCTGAACGATTATCATTATTATTATCATTCAAGATGGTCACTCCATTCCGGTTCTTGATGGTTCCGTTCGCAGGTGGTTTCCGGGGACCGGTTGAACGGATCAACTGAAATAATCTTCGGGCATTACCGGTTTTCTGGGCCTCTTCCATTTCCTTGGCTTTCTGTGTCCACCACACTTCACGATCGGCTCGCACGCTCACTTTCACTTGATGTCTGATAATTCGTCGTATCAAGTTATGTTCGGGACCGGCTGGGATATTTCTCCGAGAATTAAGCAATGAAAAAATAAATAAGCAGAGTCACTATTCAGTTTTATATCCAGGCTTGAGTGCG